GAGACGCACCCAGCCCCTCCACCCAAGCGAGGCGGCCACATTCCCTAAGGGCTTGTCGACTTTTCGCCAATCGACTTGTGAGAATCGAGCCAGATAAACCCAGGTAAATGCACATAAATCGAGGTAAATCCAGGTAAATCTAGATACATCTGGGTAAATCCAGGTAAATCCAGAGATCTCCAGGGAAAGTTCGAGCACTTCGCGGCCGCTCCAGCGCGAGTCGAAGGACGGCAGAAGTCGTTAAGCCTTTAACGACACATACGCGAACGATCTGCGCAACAGAGACATTGCGAGATGTGCCGTGCTCTGAGATGCCTCTCCAGCAGTGCCGGGCCACGCGCGTCGCTCACCCTCGCAGATCAGCTTGCGAAAGGGGCGGCGACGAAAAGCATGACAAGGCACATCTAACGGGAGACAAGGGCGAAAAAGTGAAGAGGAGGAAGATGGAGAGGAGGACAAAGAGGATGGAGACGGGACGGGAAGAAATTCTGGTGAGAGTAACAGCGCCATGCGCTGCATCTGCTCGGTTCACCCCTGCTGTTGCCGCGGGCGACCGGCACCTGAGGAGTGGCGCTCCAGCGCCCCGCGTTCTGTGATGCAAAAGCGCCGCGAGCTCAATGACGGGACAGTGGCAGAATGAGCCGAAGAACGCCGCTAGATCCGCCGCCCCCTGTGGCTTGGCACGGGTGCACGGCATGCCAGACGTTCAATCCTCCTGGTCCTGCTGAACGGTTCCCAGTGGGGTCTCGGCCTCATGTTCCGGCCACCCGAAGAGTTCCGAGAAGGTGGGAACCAGGGCCCCCGACACCTCCAAGACGGCCAAGCTGGCCTTCAAGACGGTGCCAGGCCGCCTCCAAGACGGCCAATGCTTGCTCAAAGACCCAAGGTGGTCCCAAGAGGCACCAAGACGGCCCCAGCTGCACCCAAAACAGCCCAAGGTTGCCTCAAGATGGCCCAGGGCGGCACAGGAGGCCCCCAAGAGGGCTTCCACAGGACCTCCAGGAGGTCAAGATCATTGGCCACCGGGGGCTCCATCGGGCTGTCTTGGGGCTCTCTTGGGCAGTCCCGGGGCACCCTGGGGCCGTCTCGGCGCAGTTGCCGGGGCCTCCTGGACCGCCTTGGGGCCACCTGGGACGCCCCTGGTTTTCGTCTGGGGGAATCTCGGCCCCAAGGAGCGAGAACATAACAAACCTTCAAAAAACGTCGGAAAAATATCGTATTTTGGCCTCGGGGGTCCTCGTGGGCCGTCCTGGATGGCTCCTGGCGTGTCATCGGGCCCTCTGGGGCCGTCATGGGGCTCCGTTGAAGTCCTCTTGGGCCGTCCTGGCGCCTTCAGGAGTGTTTCAAAGCTGTCTTTGGGCTGTCTGCAATTGTACGCGCCGCGACATCAATTGTAGTACAGATGACGTTGGCTCCAGCTTCGTCTCCCATATCGCGCTGAGCAGCGCCAAAGCCCGCTGCCACTGCTCGCCCTTCTGGCACGCGCTGGTCCCAGCGCTGTAGCTGTGAACCTGTGAAAAATACACGGCTGGCAGGTCAAGGTGTCGGTCCCGAACGCACACGTGCGCGTTCGGGACCGACAGGCTCTGGAGGTTGCTGCAGGCTCTGGGCTGGGCCCCCGAGCTGGAGGCTGTCTGCGAGTGTCTCAGGAGGGTCTGGGCTATCTCGGAGTGGTCCCAGGAGGGTTTTCGTGGCATCGACGGCTGCGGGAAACCCATAGTCAAGGTTTCGCTGCATCCTCCTTGCAGGAAAAGGATTAAAGGTAGAGCGGCGCCAGAAGAGGGCGGGGATGCAGGCGCCAAGAGGAGGAATCCAAATCAGAGAAGATAGGATACCTAATGTCCCGCTTGTCACCCCTGATCGGTGGAAGGGGTCGCGAGACGTGCTTGGTTGTGCAGGGGGCAAACGAGGAGGATGAGGATGAGGATGAGGATGAGGATGATGACGATGCTGGTGATGATGATGTTCATGGTAATGGTGATGACGATGATGAGGAGGCGAAAGAGGAGGAGGAGGAGGACGAGGATGATGAGGAGGATGAAGATGATGATGATAATGATGATGATGATGATGATGATGATGATGGTGATGGTGATGGTGAGGAGGAGGAGGAGGACGAGGACGAAGAGGATGAGGAGGATGAACAGGATGAATATGAGGATGATGAGGATGATGACGTTGATGCTGATGCTGATGCTGATGCCAGGTCGGGTCGCCGCGGCCGTAACATTCTTTTTAGAGAAGCTGGCGGTGGCGATGCCACGAGCGATGCCCCGGCTCCGAGAGTGGCAGTGCACACTCGCAGGCAGCACACACGCAAGAAACCGATGATAAGCCCCATCGAACGTGGGCGGGTGGGTTGGGAGCTTGAGCACAGACAGTAGCGGTCGTGCGGCCACCCTTCCCCTTCTCCATCACAGTCCACACTCAAGTTGTTGCTATGCCAGGTTGGGTCGCCGCGGTCATAACATTCTTTTCGGAGAAGCTGACGGTGGCGATGGCAGGAACGATGCCTCGGCTCCGAGAGTGGCAGTGTACACTTGCAGACAGCACGTACGTACATTTAATAACAGGGCATCAACGCCGAAAGCCGGCAAGAAAAAAAACACTCTGGACCGATTCATATTTTCCATCCCTTCGATAACGGAATCTGCGACGAGTTCGGCAGCTCTAACGGGCAAACTCGCAGCTTCGTGTCTGCAAGCTACGCCTCCCGCCGTGCGGCTATCGAACTGCAAGTGAGGCCGCCCCGAAAAGTAGCGCACGCGGCCGCGCGGTTCACACACTGAACGTAGAGACTGGCAATGGGTGCAAGTCCAGCTCCAAAAACGCGTGGCAGAACCTAACTGACGCAGATCCTTATCAATTTCATCAACACTGCCACAACAGGTGAAGGCTCTCAACTCGGGCACATTCGACACCAGACTAGATCTAGGGCGCTCCATGCAGACAGGCACATCGCGTTTGATACAACCGCGGATCAACGCGAATCCATGCAGACAGGCACACCACGATACAACCGCGAATCAACACGACATCTTCTGACAAAAAACACGGCCAGTCTGACAATGCTGAGCCTCGGGAAAGACGGCCCCGAGGCTCGGCCCGAGTACGAACGGGAGGAGACCCATACTCAATCCAGGTCCCCCGCTGCGCAGACAGCCAGAGCGCGCCGACCGCCGACGATCGGACCCAACCGAAGATGCGATCGACGACGACCCGCTCCGAGAGACGGAGGCCCGCATTCCGACCTGCCCCAAGCCTAGGGCATCTAAAAACGCGACCGCGAAGCGCTTTGCAAATGGGGCCCCTACGGGGCCCCAACACTGGCAACACGAGGCGGCGGCGGCGGCTGGGCGCCCGAGCATGAGCCAGCCGGAAAAAATTAAACAAACATGCGAGACGCGAGCGCATGGCCAGAACGGGCGCCCGCCTCGCGGGCCGCGGGGCGCTGGCCACCGCTTGCAACGGCACGTTCAATGAGAAAGAGCTTGTCACGTGCTTCGTCTCGATGAGCTCCGCCAGACGGCTGGAGACCAGCTCGCCGAAATGCGCCGCGGCGGGCGGCAGGTCCGGGATCCGCTTCTGCATCCTCGTCCTCTTGCCGTGCCTCTTCGAAGACTAGTCCGAGATCCAGCAGCCCCTCTCCTTCGTCTCCGCGGTCGTTCTCGAGCCCGAGAGCAAGACGTGCGAGGCCCCCCCATGGCGGAGGGCGTGCAAGGGCAGGGGCTCCTTCTGCAACCCGAGCTGCTGAAGCCCCAGTGCGAGCTTGGCTCGCGCATCCGCGGGCCTGAGGTTCCAGAGGATCGAGTCCGCGGCGGCGCCGAGAGTCAGCGCGCGCAGCACGGGCCACAGCTCGGGGGCGTCGATCAGACCTGGCTCGTCGGCGACCCCCGTCTTGCCAGGCCGCCGCGGCTTCGCATCGTTCGCAACGAGGCCCCGGGCGTTGAATCTCGGATCCTCGATGGGGCGGGCGAGCGGCCCCACCCGCAGTCGATCGGCCTCCGACGGCCTCAAGTACGCGTGGATCGCCAACGCCGCGTACGCGGCCATGCCGGGCAGGTTGTTCGCGATCACCCACCCCGCAACGGCCGTGGCAGCGGCCCTCGGCAGCGCTAACCGCATGTGAGGCGGCGCGAGCCTGCGCCGCCCGCCCAACGCCCGAGCAGCTCGAGGTAGCGGACGCTTGCCCCCCAGCAGGTGCGGCAAGTATTTCCTGAGCACCGCGGTCGTCATCCTGCCCGTCGCCGAGCGAAGCCGTCCAGCGCCAGGTCGTCGGTCGAGACGCTGATCACCGCTGCACCCAGCTGGCTGGCGGCGCTGAGGTCGCGCTCGCGCCGGCTGAGCCGCTCCAGGAAGCAACGCGCGTGTCCCCGATGCCGATATCTGCTCGTGTCCGTGACCGCCGACATCTCCAAGAAACTGAACGCCCCCTCCGCCAACTCCCAAGGGCGCGGATGCTCTATCTCCTGGGCCGCCTTGACCGTCATGGCTAGCTGCTTCCAGGACATTTCGGCAGTCCGCGGCGTCGAGCGCCTGCGAGAAGCCTTCGACGAGGGGGGCCTCGCCCCCTATGTCGGGCGCATCGACCCCATCCTTGACGACCGCCTCCGTGACGCCCGCGGCGTCGAGGGGCCCGCCCAGGCCCAGAGCGTTAGCCCGCGCCGATACAGCTGACACACACACACACACACACACCTGTACCTCCACCTCTCTTCCTGCCGCCCAATCTCGGCCACGCGAGGCCCCGGCAGCTGACGAGTGCACGCGCCTATGCCGATAGGAGAAGCATCATGAGCCGAGCCCCGCGAGCCCCGCGGAATGTTCAGGTACGAGGCCCAGAGAGGAACGCGCTAACAGCGCGCCAGGGCTCGAACCTCACCGAGCTCCACAAAGGCCTCGCCCCAGGATCTTTCTGAGACTCGACGGCGTATAAGGATGTTAAATGGAAAGGGGCCCCCCTCCTACAAATCATCGCGCAAGATGTGGCCCAGCAGCACCTCGAGCATGCGAGGCGATGCAGCCCCTGGCCGCAAGACCGCCAGAATCGCCCGCCGAAGCCGCAAGATGCTGGTCGGCTTCGCCCTCGCGGTGCCCATGTGACCGTTGATCTCGAGACCCGTGAACATGGGAACAGACGAAGCCTCATCGATAGCGTGCACAGGCAAGCCCCAATCCTCCAAAGTGCGAGTGATCATGTCCCGCTTCTCGGCGACAGTGGCTGCGTCGCCCCCCGCGACTGCGAAGTTGTCGACGTAGCCAGCTGCAGCCGCGCAGCTCCGAGATAGAAGCGCAGGACTCGGTCGACCATCCTCTATCGGGCACTCATCACTAAAACCGTTCTGGACGAGGGTCCTCCTTAGAATGCCTTGGCAGAAGAATAGTGACCAACTCCAACCCGTGGGAAACGTGCGAACCATCGGTTGCAGGATGCAGTCGCTGGCCAGCGGCCTCCTGGACTCCCAGCAGTCGATTAGATGGTCGGAAGCATGAAGCACCTCTCCATGCCTGGCGGCAACGTGGTAGAACGCGCGCTGGATGTCGCCCTGAGCCACCACTGCGGGGTGCTCCGACTCTAGAGCGGCCCAAGCTGCAGACGTAGGTAAAGTGGTCTTGGGCGGCGGCTCGAAGCCCTCGTTCGCCGCCCGCGTGTCGAACGCCAGCCTCAGCGTGCCCTTGCCAGATTTCTCGACGAAGAAGAACCCCACACAGCCTGCTCAACGCGGAAGCTGATCATGCCACCCTGCAGCAACTTCCCCACGAAACCAGCGCAGGCCCTATGGTAGTTGGCCAACATCGGGTCGACGTGGTCGCTGCGGCGCGTGGGCCGCCCTCGGGGCTGAACCGGAGTCCACGCCTCTGAGCATGGTCCGTCTCCTTCCCGACAAACATTCACGCTCGGCCTGGTCGACGAGATCTATGGCGCGCACGGGGGCCGACGACGCATCGGGCCAGGGCGCAAGGCCCCTGTTGCAGGGCTCGACGCGCTGGGAGTCAGTGGAGCACCCGGGCGCTGAAGCAAGCAGCTCTGCCAGGGCTGCTTCGCCAGAGCGAAAATCCTCGCGATTGCCAAGAGGATGAGGGAAGCGCTGGCACGACCGGATGGTGTGATTCATCGCGTTCTCCTGCGCCGCGGACGCCGCCGGGCCCAGCGGGGGGGCGGGCGACGACGCGCGGCCACTCGGCTGGTTCAAGGCATCGATCCCGTCGTTAGCCCATCGCCTCCAAGCAGCTCCGCGCAGCGCCCGCTGCCGACCGCGGCAAGCCTCCGCCCGCGTGTCCACCGCCAGGCCAGGCAAGGGAAAGATGTCGCGCTGACGGGCTCCAGGCCCCACGTCAAAACTGGCGGCCGTCGAAACTGCCGCGACAATGCAAGGGCTCGCCCAGGCAGCGCCGAAGCGACTGCACCTGCCTGGGAGAAGTTTCCGAGGGCCTATGCGCGCGCCGCCCGCTCCTCGCGGGCTTTGCGCCGTTCCTTGACCACTGCAGCCTCCGCCTCCAGCTGCTCCGCGATGAACTCCGTCAGAGAAGGAGATATGCGCCAGTTCCCCCTTCTCGACGACGCGCCCATGTAATGGTCGGCCTCCGCGGCAAGCAGGGCGTCGCTGGCAATGTCGGCCTTCTTCTTGTCCTTCTTCTCTTCGGCCGCCACCTGCGCCGCCGCCGAAACCTCGTAGTGCCTCTCCTCGATGAGCTGGGTCTGGCGACTGACCAGCTCGAATGCCGCCAACTCGGACGCGTTCAATTGGTCGTAGCAACAGGCCATCTCCAGCAAGCGGCAATTCATCTCGGGCTGCTGGCAGATCGCATCCGGATCATGGAGTCGAGCCTCTGCCTTCCACGTCGAGTGCCACGCGAGGGGGCCACCAGCATTCCTGCGCATGTGATCCAGGCACCACTGAGTAGCCCAAGGGCCTTTGATCGGCCAGTCGTCCATCGGCGTCGCGGTGGCCTCCCTCGCGGCGATCGCGCAGTCCAGCTGGCGAGGGCCCGCGCCGTCGGTCGCGATGGCGCGGGCCCTCCTGTCGACGATGGCAGGCATAGCTCCCCCAATGGGGCAGCCGCAGCAGCGACGGGGCCTCCGCCTCCTCCCAGCGGAGCTGCCGCGGGGCCCGCTGCAGCTGGCAGCGGCGCGCCAAGCGCGGCAGCCAGAGCGCCCGCGCCCGCGGGCGCAGCGTCCACGGCAGCAGCCCCCGCCCCCGCACAGCCCGCCCCAACGCCGCCCAAGGCGGCCCCGACCGCGGGCACCACGGCAGCGGCGGCAGCGGCGGGGTTGTCCGGAAGCAGTGCCTGCGGCACCCAAGCGGCGCCCGCCCCGATCCCGCCCGCCAGGACGAACGGCGAAGGCGGCAATGCGGCACCCAGCAGCAACCCAGCCGCACGAAAATGACCCCACATGTCGGCCGCTGACAGAACAACTTGGAACCTGTACACGTTCGCCTCCGCCACGCCACAGAGAGGAGCGCCGAGCCCACGCATGAGCCTGATCTCCTCACAATCGGCGTCCACTGTCAACGTCTCCACATATACACCACCATCCAATGTCAGGATAGCAGCCTCGGAGGGCGGCGCGTCGAACAGCGTCACACGCTCGTGGTACACCACAGGGACGCCGACTCGATATCGAATGACATGAACATCACCTGGTTGCGGCATTATGAATGGCAGCCTTTGCCTGACGCGGTGCGATCAAGCGAAGCTCCTCCACCGAGCTGCGAGACTCAGGTGAAGACGCCTGCACCAACCTGTCACGTCGTCGGCACCACAGCCTACGTGCCAAAGACCTAAAGTTCCATATTCCTGGCAACACAACGGATCCCAGAAGCAGACCGAAGATGACAACCACGGAATGACTGCACCACGAACTGATCAGATACAGGAATATCGCACCGTCGGCTGTCAGGCACGACGCGTTGTACGTGGGCGAGCACTCCCAAGCACACGGAAGGCAAGCAGGAGGGGCCACCGAAGTGGCTGACCAAACTAGCAGGGCCTGTGAGGCGCCACGCGAGAAGTCCGAAAGGAATCGCGAGACGGCACCGTGCATGCGCCTCAAAAGCTTGAGCACAGACGGTAGCGGTCGTGCGGCCACTCTTCCCCTTTCCCAGCACATTCCACACTCAAGTTTTTGCTATGCTGAGGAAGAGGAGGAAGAGGAAGAGGAGGAGGAGGAGGAGGAGGAGGAGGAGGCGGAGGAGGAGGAGGAGGAGGGGGGAGGAGGAGGAGGAGGAGGAGGAGGGGAGGATGAGGAGGAGGAGGAGGAGGAGGAGGAGTGGGGAGGAGTGAGTGAGAGGCAGGAGAGCGAGCAGGAGGCTGAGGAAAAAAGTAGCTCCGGTGCGAGGGCAGCCTTCGGGCCCTCTTCGAGGCCCTCGAAGAGAAGCAGCCATGGCTCCATGGCTAGCAAGTCGAAGCCAACAGAACCGTGAGAGGAGCGGGGAGGCTCCAGAAACAGCAAAGTGTGCTCAGAGCGGCTGGAGCGACGAGGAGGGAATGAGGCGCAGGAGAGCAAGCAGGAGGCTGAGGAGGAAGAGAGCAGCTCTGGTGCAAGGGCGGTCTCTTCGAGGCCCTCGATGAGGAGCATCCGTGGCTCCATGGCTAGCAGGTCGAAGCCAGCAGGACCGTGAGAGGAGCGGGGAGGCCCCAGAAACAGCAAAGAGTGCGGGTGCTAGTGCAGGGGCCCCGACGTGTCTGCATGTTCCCTTCGTCACCCCAAATCGGCTGTGTGGGGGCCCCAAGGTGGCCAGAGCTTCGAAGCAATGCGGTTAGGGGAGGAGTGGGGAGAACAGAGAGATGAGCGGCGGCTCCAGAAGCAGCCAAGGGTCCCCAGAACGGCCGGAGAGTCGAGGAGGGAAAAGGGGAGGAGGAGGAAGAGGAGGAGGAGGAATCATGATAATAATAAAAATAATAATGCGAAGGAAGCAGCCTACTACTACTACTACTACTACTACTACTACTACTACTACTACTACTACTACTACTACTACTACTACTACTACTACTACTACTACTACTACTACTACTACTACTAGTAATAATGATAATAATAATAATAATACTAATAATAAGAATAATACTAATACTAATAATAATATCAATAATAATAATAATGATGATAATAATAATAATAAAAATAATACTAATAAGAAGAAGAAACATAATAAGAAGAAGACGAGCGGAGCTCCGTCGGGCCGTGTTTTGGGTCGGGGGCTTTGGTCAGGGCTACCGGGGAGCCACAAAAAGGCGACAGCTGAGAAGAGGGGCGGGAGGCTCTCTTGGGAGCTCCGTCGGAACTGAAGTATCTTGGCAGGCTCTGGGCCTTCCTCTGGGGTCTGGGGCTTTTGGGGTTCCAGAAACGGCGAGGGGGGATATGGCTGCAGGCACTCTCCTTGGAGCTCCCCGGCAAATTTCGCGGCCTCTTGGCAGATTCTGGGGCGCATCGGAGTGGTCCTTGGAAGGTGCTTGGCCCATTGGGGGCTACGGGCAGCCCATTGTTTGGACTCTCTTCGGGCACTCTTCGAGGCCTCCTCGGGCTCTCTCCAGAGCCACTGAAGGCCCTCTTCGGCAATTTTGCTGCCCTCTTGGGCCATCTTGGGGGCCTCTTGGGGGGCCTCTGAAGGCCCTCTTCGGCAAGTCTGCGGCCCTCTTGGGCCGTCCTGGGGGCCTCTTGGGGGGCATCTGGGCGCCCTCTTCGGCCATTTTGCGGCCTTCTTGGGCCGTCTTGGGGGCTGCGGAAAGCCTGTTGTCTGGACTTTCTTCGGACCTCGTCGAGGCCTCCTCGGGACCTTTCTGGAGCCTCTGGGGGCCCTCTTCGGCCATTTGCGGCTCGTGGGCCGTCTTGGAGGCCTCTTTGGCCGTCCCGGGGCCATACTGGGGGTTGTTGGGGTCCCATGCAGTCTTGGAGCCCGCTTTGGGGCCTGGTGGGCAGCTCCTGAGGCCCTCGTGGGGCTGTCTTGGGGGCCATTGGGGGCTCTATGAGGCTGTCTTGGGCTTCTCTTGGGCAGTCTTCGGGCACTCTGGGCCCGTCTTGGGGCACTTGGCAGGGCCTCCTGGACCGTCTTGGAGCGATCTGGGATGGCCCTGGAGCCGTCTGGGGCCGTTCTTGGCCCGAACTTGCGAGAACATGGAAAACTCTCGAAAACCCAAGGGGCACCTGTGATTTTGGCCCCGGGAGGGGGGGCCCATCTGGGAGTGTGGCCACCCGTCCCGCTCCCAGCCTCTTTGAGTATCGTTTGCCCGGTCCCCATCCCCAGCGGCGTGGCCCGGGCCCCTCTGGCCGATTTACCCCCCTAGACGGGGACATGGGCCGTATCCTCCGGGTTTCGAGGGGTGTATCCCCGACTGGGGTGGTACTTTGCTGGGGGTCTCTTAGGGGATTGGGATGAGGATGGGGACTTGGTTCAACGATGCCGACTCCTCCCGTACATGGACAATATATCCGAACCCTTACACATTCGAGGGAGATTCTAAATCACCCCCTCGCCCCCGACATCAATGTTGATCTCAGTAGAGGCGGTGCTCTGGGGTTCGAATATTTCTGTCCACTCACGCCCCCCCCCCTCGCCACGCCATCCATATTGATTTCGGGGGGTCCGGGGGGCATCTCGGGCCACAGGGTTCGAATAGAATGTCCATGCACTGGGACCGAAACCGACGGACCTGGGACCGAAACCGACGGACCTGGGACCCG